AAGTAGAATCGTTGCTCGCAAGACTCCACAGCTTAGAGGGACCATTGGTGATGAGGTTGACATGCAGTTAACATATTCGAAGAAGACAAACCACTTCTCCATAAAATTATTCCCATAACTAGGATTATCCATTGCTAATAGTTACATGGCTAATTAATCAGATATTGCCATATCCCAAACCTTCGTCCTCCATTGTGTCAAGATGGGGATCTTAGTTAGTTTCCAATTTAAAGCTATAAGATTTTTAGCTGCCATAAGAAATAGAGATACACGTTCAGTATTTTGTTTTGATAATTTTGATCCAGGCCAATGATGCAAAAGGACAGACTCAGGTGAGTTTGGTATTCCATGGCCTATAATTTTTTTTGTATTTCTGCTATCACTTGGTTCCAAAATAATTTAATTCTGGGACATGCCTACCAACAGCGAATGAGTTCCCCTGAAGAAAATGGCTGCTTTCAGGGCTATTTTTGGGCAGGAACGCGCAGGAATGGAGTTCCGGCTGGCTCCCGAGTTGGCCACGCCCAGCAGGAACTCATTAGCATAGGCCACACCCAACAGCAGAAACTCATTAGGATTGGCTACATTAGGGGTGTGTGGCCTAACATGCAAAGGAGTCCCTGCTACAAAAAAGCCCTGGGTTTTGACAACAAACAAGGTAAACAGAATAACAAGCAAAAGGTGGGTGTGGCTGAATGAGCACACTTCTGGTAACATGGGGGTGCGGCCTTATGTGCTAATGAGCTGTGCTGTCAGGGGTGTGGCCTAATATGCTAATGAGTTTCTGCTGTTGGGTGTGGCCTAATATGTTAATGAGTTCCTGCTGGGCTTTTTCTACAAAAAGAGCCCTGGCTGCTTTGGAGTGTGGACCGTACAGCACGGTACCCTGCTGAGGTCCCCCCCCCAAACCCCTCCCTACACAGGTTCCACCCTCCCAAAATAATCTCCAGGTATTTCCCCACCCAGAGCTGGAAACCCTAAGCCTGGGAAGGGTGAGGTTTGGGGAAGAGAGGGAAATCAGTCGGGATCACACTGCCATAGAGTCCATCCTGCAAAGCAGCCAATTTTTCCAGGAGAATTGATGTCTGTAGCCTGGACCAGGCAGGAGGTGATGTGAAAGACCTCAGCCTGAGACCCTGAGAGCTGCTGCCAGTCTGAGTACACAGGACTGACCTTGATGGACTCAAGGGTCTGATCACGGGTCATTTCATAGAAAAAGAGGTGAAGGAGCTCATTAGCACAACCCATTAGCATAACTTATTTGCATATGCCACACCCCCTGACATCATCGGAAGTGTGTCAGAAGGCAACACCCATTGCTTAGGCTCCACTGGACTGTTTTGGTTGGGTGGTTGCCTAGGGGGGGGGGGACACGCAGATCTGTCCTCACAGGGGAGGGAGCGCTTGTACCTGAAGAAAATTTGGTCTTAAAGGTGCCACTGGACTGTTTTGGACCGGGGGGGCCGGAGGGGGTCTCTGCAACTTACCTGGCTGCTTCTTGCTCTGACTGAGGGCTGCTGGAAGCAGGGGGTGGGGCTTGTTGCATGTGCCCGCCCCCTGGGCTCTTTACTGCCGGAGCTCTGCTCTTGTGCGCTCCTGAAGGAAATGACCCCTGGGTCTGATTCAGTATAAGGTGAGCTCCGTGAGATCAGCGGTCATTCTGGGAGATCTCCAGGCCCCACCTGGAGGTTGACAATCCCAGTCAAATGGGGCTGTGGCTCAGTGGCAGAGCACCCGCTTGGCATGCAAAAGGCCCTGGGCTCACTGTTTAAATTATCTTGGATTGTGTGGGTTTCAAATAGGGTTGCCAACCTGGAGGTTTCCTGGAGTTTCAACTTATCTCCTGGAGACAGAGATCAATTCACCCAGAGAAAAAGGGCACTTTGGAAGGTGGACTCTATGGCATTATACCCCACTGAATTCCCTCCCTGCCCCCAAACCCCACCCTCTTCATGCTCCACCTCCCAAATTTCCAGGTATTTCCCAACCAGGAGATGGCAACCTTTTTAACGTAAAATTTTTATTTTACCTTACCAAGCATACAAGAAACATATATTGTACTAGGAGGGAAGCCCGTTGTAGATAGAAGACAACTAGCGCTAGAAAGAAAGGGGGCCCCCGTCCCACGCTTTCTCCCCCCCCCACCGCCCGCAGACCCCGGGGTCGGTGGGCAGTGACTGGCTTCCTGGACGGCTGCGGCCGGGGTCCTCCGGGCTGCCTCAATGGCCATGTGCCCCAGTAGCATGCCAGCCCCCTTCCATGCGCAGGCTGTCCGCCGGCGTGCCTCATTGGGCTAGTATGGCCGTGGTGGCAGCAGGCCCGGGATCGTCCCAACGAACCAGTGGCTGGTGAATCGAAGTGAGGCCCTTCCGCTCACCCCCCCCTCCCCAGACCCCAGGGCTGTGCTGCATGCGGCGGTCTCCAGGCCAGCTTAACGGGTCTTTGGCCGGGCGGCACACCAGCCCCGTCCCGCTAACAGCCTGGTCACTGATGTGGCTCTGGCCTCGGTGGCCCACAATGGCTGCACCAGCGGCAGCAGGAGCAGGCTTGGGCCGACGACCTCACAGGCATTAAAGGGTCCAGGGCGCCCATCGCGTCAGAGGAAAGCGAGGCCCATCCCCCCTCTCTCTGCCCTCCCCGTACTGCCGGGCCCTGCTGCGTCCAGCGGCCTCCGTGCTGCCTCGATGGCTCTTCGTCCCAGCGGTGTGCCAGCCCCTGTCTGCTTGCAGGCTGGCCGCCAAGTCGGCTGGGGGTGATGATGACCGGCACGGGGGTGGGAGGAAGGGGCTCGGCCAAGCTTCCAGCAGCCAGACCATGCATTCCGTCGGCAGCTCCATGCATATTAAGCGCAAGCTGGTGGCCGGGGCTTGTGTGGGCAGGACCCCGCAACGCAGCCAGCCAATGCAGGCAGCACCTTTGGAATGGCAGTTCAGGCGGCCAATCGATTTTGACGTGAATAGAACTTTGCCACCCCAAATCGCTTTTATTAATAAGGAGAGATAGGTAAACCTATGGCCGTGCAACTACCAAGAATTGAACAAAGGAAAGGACTGCAGAAATATTTTGATAATGTTGACAGGTTCAAAAAATGTGCTAATACACTATTTTATTGCTTTGACTGCACCGCTTCTCTTAATGTATCGTTGCATGTCATGTATTCCAACACTGGAAACCATCGTTCCACAAATCTGGAGTTAAAATGAATAGTCCCTGACAATGAAACCTGATCTGCTATCTTCTCCGTTATAAAATAATCTCACAATTTACAGTGCCACTGCGTGATGGTCGGCGGATGAACAGTTTTCCAGTTGGATGCTATTACAGATTTTGCAGCTGTCAATAAAACACCAGTTCGATGTCTGTTTGGGGAGCATACATTAGAGCCATTCCAAAAGTCCAATAATATGGTCTCTGGGAGCATGCAAACCTCCTCACCTGTTATCAATTTTGTATGTTTCACTGTCTCAGTCCAGAATTTTCTAATACATTTAAACCCCGCCGACCATACGACAAAAGACCTCTCAGTGGTTGCTGCTTAATATTTTTTAAAGTACATTGGAGACTCGCTCATTAATCTGTGTACGGGTTGGACCTAGGATTCCCAGACGCAACGAGGGGCCTGGAGATCTCCTGGAATGATTACTGATCTCCAGGCGACGGAGATCCGTTCCCCTGGAGGAAAGGGCTGCTTTGGAAAGTGGGCTCTCTATGGGCAATCTGCCCTGCTGAGGTTCCTTCCCAGGCTCTACCGCACCCCGCACCCCAAAAAAAATCTCCAGAAATTTCCCAACCCAGAAACTGCCATCCGAGTTATATCCTACAAAAGTTTCCATTAATGGTTTTCCTCTAGCTCCTTCTGCCAATTCAAGCATCTCTTATGGAGGAGGAGGAGGAGGAAGAAGAGGAGGCAGAGGAGGAGGAGGAAGAGGAAGAAGAAGAGGAGGAGGAAGAAGAAGAGGAGGAGGAGGAGGAGGAGTGGGGCCGAGAGAGCTCTTTGGAGGAATCTTTGTGAGAGAACAGCTCTGAAAGAACTTGTGACTGACCCAAGGTCACAGCAGCAGCTGCATGTGGAGGAGTGGGGAATCAAACCCCATTCTCCCCGATTAGAGTCTCCTAACCGCTACACCAAACTGGATGACCCTGGGGGCCAGAGGAAACGGCCCCTGTTCACAGACCCAACTCTTTGTCTGGTGCCGCCATCTTGTGGCATATAATGAAGAAGGGGGTGGAAATACGTCTGCATTCCTTACCTTAATGTGTTTGGTGATATCCTCCTCACACGGGCGCATGTTACAGAGGCGGCTCTCCTTCACGAGGCGGCACTGGTCATTCTCGTTGGAGATCCGGGTGGAGATGCCCACCCCACAGGTCTTCGAGCAGAGGCTCCAGGGGGACGTGTGGGGGATACAGTTCTTCTGCCATGATTCAATCTCTCCTTCATAAACTGCAAAGTAAACACACATCCAGTCAGATCAGTGTCCACCCCATTATTAGGGCTGCCAATCTTCAGGCAGGGCCAAGAGAGCTCCCAGAATAACAGATATCCAGTCTACACAGATCTACACAGTCTACACAGATCAGTTCCTGAGAAAGAATAAGAACAAGAGGAGGAGGAGGAGAAGAAGATTGGATTTATACCCTGCCCTTCACTTGGAGTCTCAGAGCGGCTTACAAACTCCTTTCCCTTCCCCTCCCCACAACAGGCACCCTGTGAGGTAGGCAGGGCTGAGAGAGCTCTGAGTGAACTGCTCTTGAGAGAACAGCTCTGAGAGAACTGTGGCTTGCCCAAGGTCACCCGGCAGCTGCATGTGGAGGAGTGAGGAATCAAACCTGGTTCTCCCAGATTAGAGTTTGTGCTCCTAACCACTATACCAAAATGAAGAAAATGGCTGCTCTGGAGGGTGGACTACAGGGCATTATACCACACTGAGGCCTTCCCTTCCCCCAAACTCTGCCCTTTCGAGGCGCCCCTTCCAAATCTCCAGGAATTTCCCAACTAGGAATTGGCAACCCTACCCGTTATCTAGTCTCAGGAAGGACATCTACATTTTCTGTCAGGAAACATTCCTGTGGGGTATTCTATTAGCTCTCTCCTTCTGGCCAGAGAGGGGAAGTCGATGTTGTGGCCAGGACTGAGGTATAAAATTGTATCAGGGAGGATAATCCACAGTGAAAGGTGGGGTGGTGCGGCGGTTAGAGTGCTAGATTGGGGCCGGCTTCGTCCCTCCCCCACAGCCGTGAAGCTCCCTCGGTGGCCTCAGGCCAGTGTCTCTTCCTCAGTCTAACCTACCTTGCAGGGCTGTTGTGACGACAAAACGGAGGAGAAAACGAGCTCCTCGGAAGGAGAGTAAGATGGAAATGAATCACATTTTGTTTGAGCTCTACTATGAGGTAGATCAGGAGCTGCGGTGGCTCAAGTGGTTAAGACGCTGAACTGCAGGCTGTGGAAGGTCGGTAGTTCAGCAGTTCGAGACCCGGGTGCCGCATGATGGAGTGAGCTCCCATCTCTAGTTCCAGCTCCTGCCAACCTAGCAGTTCGAAAGCAAGAAATTCCAAGGAGATAAATAGGTACGGCTTCGGTGGAAAGGTAACAGCGTTCCATGCGCCTTGGTGTTTAGTCATGCCGGCCACATGACCATGGAAACATCTTCGGACAGCGCTGGCTCTTCGGCTTGGAAACTGAGATGAGCACCGCAACCCCAGAGTCGGATTCGACTGGCTTTCGAGCAAGGGAACCTTTACCTTTATGAGGTAGATCAGGGCTGCTAACCTCCAGGTGGTGGGGGAGGGCTGGAGCGCTCCCAAAATGACGTGACCTCCAGACAGAGATCGCTTCCCTCCGCTCAGTTCACTGTGGGGTATTCTATTATCTCTCTCCTTTTGGCCAGAGAGGGGAAGTCAATGTTGTGGCCAGGACTGAGGCATAAAATTGTATCAGGGAGGATAATCCATAGAGAAAGCTGGGGTGGTGCGGCGGTTAGAGTGCTGGATTGGGGCCGGCTTCGTCCCTCCCCCACAGCCGTGAAGCTCCCTCGGTGGCCTCAGGCCAATGTCTCTTCCTCAGTCTAACCTACCTTGCAGGGCTGTTGTGAAGACAAAACGGAGGAGAAAACGAGCTCCTCGGAAGGAGAGTAAGATGGAAAAGAATCACATTTTGTTTGAGCTCTACTATGAGGTAGATCAGGAGCTGCGGTGGCTCAAGTGGTTAAGACGCTGAACTGCAGGCTGTGGAAGGTCAGTAGTTCAGCAGTTCGAGACCCAGGTGCCACGTGACGGAGTGAGCTCCCGTCTCTAGTTCCAGCTCCTGCCAACCTAGCAGTTCGAAAGCAAGAAATTGCAAGTAGATAAATAGGTACGGCTTCGGTGGAAAGGTAACAGCGTTCCATGCGCCTTGGTGTTTAGTCATGCCGGCCACATGACCATGGAAACATCTTCGGACAGCGCTGGCTCTTCGGCTTGGAAACTGAGATGAGCACCGCAACCCCAGAGTCGGATTCGACTGGCTTTCGAGCAAGGGAACCTTTACCTTTATGAGGTAGATCAGGGCTGCTAACCTCCAGGTGGGATGGGGAGGGCTGGATCTTTCCCAAAATGACAAGTGGCCTCCAGACGACAGAGATCGCTTCCCTCCGCTCAGTTCCCTCCACTTCCCAAGTCCCACCCCCAAATCTCCAGGAATGTCCCAACTTCTTTATTTTGAAATAGGACTTAATCTGCAACATTGGCTTTAACAGTTTATTCTTGATGGTTCCAGATGTTCTTGCAACCTGCCCTGAAGGGCTGTAATTTGACTGCATTACTGCATTGTATCCAGTGTACAAAGTTGTTAGAATGTCTGACTAAGAACTGGGAGACCTGAGTTCAAATTCCTACTCTGCCATTTATCTATGTCTTTGGGGTAAGTTTCCTTTATATATTAAGGGGCGATGGGTCCCTGCAATTTGCACTCTGATTGGCTGTGGCAATCCCACCACTTTCTGTTGGGAGATCCCACCTGGGACTTCTGGTGTTTGAGTGGGTTACAGCGCCACCTAGTGCTGACTCACTCAATTTCTTATTGCAATAAAGGCTTCATGGCATCAGCATCCCCAGCATCCCGAACAATTCTATCCTGTCTCTTATCTTGGATTCTCGGCCCACCATCCTTCTTGATGGGCAGTCCATTCAGGACAGGGGGGAAAAGGCAATGCTTCTCCCCCCAGTACATAATCAAACTGTGAAATGTTGTTCCGATCCAGTGATGCACCTGTGGTTTACTACCATTTATTGATTCAGTACATTTTTATCCCCTCCTTCCCGCAAGGAGTTCAGGGCGGGGCACATTGCTCTCTCTGCAACTTCTACCCTGCTGCTATGTTTGGTGTAGGGGTTAAGTGCGCGGACTCTAATCTGGGAGAACCGGGTGATTCCCCGCTTCTCCACGTGCACCTGCTGGATGACCTTGGGCAAGCCGTAGTTCTGATAAGAGCTGTTCTTGAAAAAAGAGCAGTTTCTGGCAAGAGCTCTCTTGGCCCCACCTACCTCACAGGGTGTCTGATGTGGGGAGGGGGAGGGGAAGGAGTTTGTAAGCCGCTCTGAGACTCCCTTGGGTAGTGAAGGGCGGGGTATAAATCCAATCTCTTTTCTTCTCTATGCTTCTAGAGACTTTGCCCTCCCCGCCCCCCTTTAGTCTGCTATTGTCCCACTTTGGGGCTAAGATTTGCAAAAGCCTCTCTGCTTTGATTTTAAAAGGCTTGATCCCACAGTAGCTGAGTCACAATCCTCAAAATTTTGGCTTTTCTTTCTGCACTGAGAACTTCAGCCCCACCAGGAAAAAGTATTTGGCCTGCTGTCCGCAAAATCCTGGCTACAGGCCTGCGCCCAGCTCCTGCTAACAGTCCAAAAGTGGAAGACCTCTGAATTCTAGTGGCTGAGGTGGCAATGGGGTTACCAGGCTCCAGGTGGGGTCTGGACGCAATGTTCCCTCTAAGCTGTGGAGTCTTGTGAGCAAAAATTCTACTTTGTGAGCTACTGGCATTAAAGTTCTGAGCGAGCCATTTGGCTGCTGCATTAAATCAGGGTGCTCTGGAGCCCTCCTTCCTGAGCTGAGAAAAAAAATCTGTGAGCCGGAGGCTAAAAAAACCTGTGAGCTAGCTCACACTAACTCAGCTTAGAGGGAACACTGGTCTGGAGACCTCCTGGAATTACAACCAATCTTCAGATGACAGACATCAGTTGTCCTGAAGGAAATGACAGCTTTGGAAGGTGGACTATACTCTGCGGAGGTCCCTCCCTCCCCAAACTCTGCCATCTTATACCTTAAAATCTCCAGGTATTTCCCAGTACAGAGTAGGCAACCCAAGTTGGTAACACTGGGGAGGGGCCATTGCCTTCCATCTTCTCCTTTTGGGTTACCTGGAGATATCAGGACTGTGGGGAACAGCATACTGGGCTAGGGCCCCGGTCACACGGGCCAGATAACGCGGGGGGGAGGCATGGCTGTTTGCCCCGGAGCAAAATAAAGTGCGGTAGCCCGATCAGACAGTCCCCCGAGTCTCCGCACTTAGGCTGTTAGCTGGCGATCACACGGCGATGCTGGAGCGTGGCAAAGAAGCGGCGCGGCAAGTGTTTGGCATTTGTGCGCACGCGCAGTTCCGCAGAGCAGCACTGCTTTCAGTTATGTGTTTGTGCGCATGCGCTTATGAAAAACATCCGGTTTGCGACGGGACCTGGACGGGCGCCGGATGCCACGGGATACTAGCGCTTC